TGTATATATATATATATATATATATATATATATATATATATGGAAAGACAATAGAATTGAGAGGAGGGAGAGCATACTCAAATGATAAAATAAAAATGATGAAATATTAACAGGTGAATCTGGGTAAATGCTATATAAATATTTGTATTAATCATATTTTTAACTTTCCTGTTAATATAAAGGATTTCAAAGTAATTTTATTTAAATCTTAAAATTATTCTTACATATTTTTATCCTAATGCATAAGATCATAAAGCATGAACAAAACACAAGAGAAAAAATAGAAAATAAGAATGCATAGACATAAACATTAAGATGAGTTGTTACTGATAGACTTCAGAAAACAAGAAAGATAATGCCCAAAAAGAATAATACACCATAATTATGAAGAACTTATCCCATCTAATTCACTACATTAATTGATTAAAGGAGAAAAATCATATGATCACTTCAATAAACAAAACAAAAAGACTTAAAAAACACATTGATAATAAAATCTATGGCCAAACTAGGAATAGGGAAAAAAAAAACTACCCCAATGTAACAAAGGGCGTCCATGAAAATATAAAGCTAATTTCCTTCTGAATAGAGAAATACTGAGTGCTTGCTCATTAAATCAGGAAGAAGACAAAGATATATTTCTGCTGTCATCGCTTCTGGTTAACACTGTACTAAATGTCACAGCCAGTTAAATAAGAAAAGAAAACAGATCACATGTAGATTGAAAAGAATAAAATTGTCTTTATTCAGAGATGATATGATTATGTAGGTATAAATCATAAGAAATCTATAGAAATTAGTGAATTCAGTAATATGTCAGGATACAAGGTTAAAGTACAAAAGGCAGCATACAAAAGGCCACTGCGTTTCTATATAATACCAAATTATATGAAGTTGACATTTTAAAAAATACTATTTATAATAGTATCCAAAGCATTAAATAATTAGAAATCTGTTTTGGGGTAGAAGACATCAACAAGATAGCATAGTAAGAGATGCCATCCTCTCTTTTGCTCACAAAAAGCAAAAATCTGACAGTTAACCATGAACGAAAATAACCTCGAAGTATTTAGGAGTTCACCTGAGACCCATAACAATATAATGGAAGAAAAAAACCTGAGAACCAATAAAAAGGATAAGAAAAAGAGTTTCCTGCATCATCTATTCTGGCAGGTTTTCCAGCATGAAGGAACTCCCTTGTTCACCATTCACCTTGTGCGGAAAAGAACAGGGCAAACAACCAGTAATATTAGGGAATAAAGAAGAGGGATAGGCTCTTTTTCGGTCACTTTCTCAACGCTAGGACACAATATCCCAAAACCCACAATTTAAAGAAGGAGAGGTCTGTTTTGGTTCATGTTCTTTAGAGGTTTCAGTTAATGGGTGGTATGCTCAAACTCAGAAAATGGTAAGACAGAAAGGACTGCTGAAGAGGAAAGATAGGAAGCAGAGAAAGAAAGGAAGAGCCGAGAAAGGAGATATACCCTTCCAGGGTATATCTCTAGTTAATCAGCTTCTTCCAACCAGACCACACCTAACAAGTCAGCTATGTCTTTTCTATGATTAAATCACCTTCCAAAAGCCTTGTCTGTAAATACATGAGGCCTTTGGGAAGACATTCTCAATCTAAGCCATAACAGGCAAGACAGTGAGAGTAACCATGTCTCACCATGACCTACTTATCGTAAGAATCCAACACATGTATCTGCTGAGATGGGCGCTGAGTATCACTCACAGCTTTTACCAGAAAGAACTCAGTGTTCAAGATCACAGATTACAGTGGCTTGTTCTTCAGGGAATCCCAGTAACTTTGATGTCTCCCCGAAGCCTCATGCAGTCATAAGTGGCTTTTTAAGGGGTGGCTGAATCTAGAGTTTGTGATGCTGGGATTGAGGGAATGTGATTACTAAACCAGGACACTGACTGGTTTGACATTACCCTAATCCCAGTGGTCTGGACAACATAAAAGGCACAGAAAGACACTCTTAAGGTTCCCTTACTGCTTTTGCTATCTTCTGGCCACCATTAACTGTTTCTCCGCTTCAAGGCCTAGCTGTCATGCTACTCTGCCTTGGAGCCAGCCAATTATAGACTGAAGCCTCTACAAATGGTGAGCTAAATAAACATTCCCTTTTTATCTTTGTGTGTTGGGTATGTTGTCTCAGCAATGAGAAAAGTAACACACCTCTTGTAGAACAGTGGCAGACTAATCACTAGACTAGTCCCACTGTGCTCTCTTGCAGCCTGACAAAACTGACAGTGCCTGGTAGTAAGGCAGGGGCAAAAAAAAACTCTAGCTAAGTCATACCCCCAGGAGCACAGCTGAAACCTCGCAGAACTTTTCCTGTAGGGAGAATAAGAATCAGTTTCAGTGGTGTGTCTCGATCACCTGCTCCTGACAGGTAAGAAGTCATTTGTGAGAAACCAGCTCAAACCAGTTGGCATATCAAACCAGACACAACCACAGAGAACTAGAGCTGAGCTCCCTGCAAGTGCTGCAAGCCAAGGTCTCTCCATTTGTGAACTAAGAGGTAGGAGCATACTAATGAAATTCTTACTGAAGTACAAATAACATTAAGAGGTTCTTTCCCTTAATTGTTTTCTCGTTTTTATCTGCCATTGCCTTTTGAAAGAGCTGTTGGGAAGGGGTGTTTGTGTGCTAGTAAGAGTATAGGAATCTGAATTAATGCTCTTACCAAGTTACATTAGCTATTAGATTTAGTCATAAACTGGTTTCAACCTTCCTATGTCTTCTACCATATTTCATTTAAACTCCCTCCTCAACTTCACTTTTCACATCTTTACCCTCTCAAATTCCTCCTCCCTCTCCCCTTCTTTGGTGTTACACAAATACTATCAACACACACACACACACACACACACACACACACACACACACACGAGTTTTTGTTTTTGTTTTTAGACAGAAGTCTCACTATGTAGCTCAGGCTGGCCCTGAAATTACTATGTAGTCTAGGCTGGCCTTGAACTAAGGGTGATCCTCCTTCCTCAACCTGCTGAATGCTAGGACAACAGGCATGTGCCACCATGCTCAGCTAACAATACATTTTTATTCTGTCTTTTCTTTCTTTCATTGGCATTGCTTTTAGTAAGTGCTAGGGGCTTGGCAGTATGCTAGTAACAGTGCAGGACTAAAAATTAATGCTTGGGTCTCTATATGTAAATCTATAATCACATTAGGTTCTCCCACACCAAGGAGTGTTTCACACTGTTAGCTAAAAATAGACTTTTGGTTTGGTCATAAATCAGATACAATATTTTTATGCCCTACATCATGCTCCACTTATTCCTTCCCCCACTCCTCTACTTACTTTGCCTCTCACACCCGCTCAAATTCCCCGACTCCTTCCTGCTTTTATATAACAGAAGTAGTATCAGTACAGTTTTTGTTTTTAATTTGGCTTTTCTTTCTTTCTCTCAGAATATTTATGTGTGATGTGCACATATGTGAAATGGTGTATAAGAATTAATTATTGCTATAGTTTATACAGTATCTTTCATAGAAATATCAAATCAACCCTCGCCAAAACTTATGTATGTAGATTCAAACACAAACTTTCTACTAACATATTAAATGGTTTCTATCAGTTAAACCTTCATACAACTTCCCACAAATTTTCCTGCTCATCCAAATAACTTCTCAAACATCCTCTTCCCTTCCCTCCATTCCAGATATAAAAATAACATCCCAAAGTCTTGTCACATTTTTTCATTTCCTTTTGTCTTTTTCATTCCTTCTTTCTGAACTACTTTCTGACTTATTCCATCACCTGTTGTAATTGACATCAGTACTATTTCATTGTCTCCCTAGGTTAGAGAAAACAAGTATTAAATACTTAAGACAAGTTTTAAATTATATGTTGATATATGGTTGGTTTTGTATACAAAATGTAACTGCTATTTGTTCTATACTTGCAAATAGTCACCAGAATTAGAGGACTTCCAGGAAGATGGGGGAGTGGTGAGCAGCACAGAGAGAGGGTCAGTGCCCAGGCACAGCAATAAAGCAATGTGAGAAAGAAAAGAAGCAGGAAAGTGGGTCCCTGGGACCCAGAAAAGATCTGAAGTGAGAATTAAAGCCCATAGGAGAGTGAAGAGAGAGTCCCTAACAAAGGAGGTAACAGGCAGCACCTCCTACCTAAGCCAGGACTCACTTTGGGGGAGGGGTAACTCGAACCTTAGACAAACTGTGACTACTGGTGACCAGAGAGACCTCCATGGTGAAACATGCCAGTGGAGAGTGCTAGACATAGCGTACTGCAGTGGTTGATGAGGTATTGGA